AGTAAAAATTCTTCTGCAAGGCTAGGGTTTTCTAGAAAGCCCGATCCCTAAATCCCGATGAAATTTAGGATTTTTGTAGGTCTTATGTGGTTGGACGAGAACTCAACGTTCATGCATGCGCAATTTCTGTTTCTCCACTTCCACCAGATAACTCCCTATAAGGACATTCAAAAATAGTTGGTAATTCAGATGACGCAAAAAGTCGTTCTTACTACCTAAGATCATATCATTCTATCCCCAGCTTATGTCGGCAAACGATGTAACAAAGCGTTAGGCTGTCCTCGGATAGGTTTCTTCTCGTTGACATTATAATTATAGAGAGAAGCGACATGAGGCCATATGTCAGCCGTGAATCCTCTATATGGCCTCGAGACCCCAAGTAACATTGCTCGTAAATCATACGACATCGTTATGAGCAGAGATTTTAGAGATTCACTCATGCTTCCGAAATGGAAAAATGAAACTTGCATATAAGTGCCATTGCATACTGTTTTGGTGTTCAGAATATCATAGAAATGATTCAAGAGAACCATTAATCCTAACTTTGAAAATGATAACATTTGCCTTTAACTGCAAGCTGTAGTTAGTTACCTAATTTTCAAACGCCTGGCTGGTTCGTAACTCTATGAAGCTGCGTTTTTTTAATTGGCAACCGATGCGTGAATGCATCGCAAATGTGGCAAACATGAAGGCAACAAGCTGCAGAATAGCAAAAGATTTAGAAAAAATATTTTCGGATCATCATAATATTGCAAAATTTCGCATAGCCATTTAGTATATAGACTTTTGCAAGTACACGTGCGTTACAGTACCTCCTTTCTACACTCACTCAAAAATATGTCTGCCCCGAAAAACCGTAAGATTCTGAATATAGCATTAACCTCTAAGTGTAAAAAAGAGGAGAATTGGATAAAACATGAGATAAGATACAGATTGAGAGCAAAATATGGGATAGCAGCACCAGACAGCGCTAGCTACTGAAGGATTTCATATCCAAATCCGGTTCAGGCCCTCATCCACAAAAACCTTAGCTTCTAGCTCCAGACATCACCGCAGGCCTCACCGTGCGGTCTCTAAGGAACGAGTCTCACTCAACGTTTAGTCGACAAGCACTAAAGCATAGCAAGAAATGATTGATGCTGCACTAGCGGAGGCTAAATGAAATAAGAAATCTGCATCTGATCGCTTTAATGCGAAGAATTTAAATTAAAGAACAGTTGGGTTTTTATTGAATGGTAAACCAAATAACTTGTCAAATAAGTTCAACTGCTACAAAAATTTTAACTGCCAAAATGTAGAAATGCAAGATTTTTAGACATTTGTACCTCATCCGCATGAAGATCGTGACAGTTGTCCACTCACTGGACTGCTATTTCGTGCTTTTTTGAGCACGAGTGTTACCGCTTCGTCACATTCTCATTTTTCACAACGCAGCCGTGCCCAAAAAAGAGGCTCCAAGAATGTTGCAGCGGTTTAGAAGTTGCCATTTGCTTTCAATCTTTTCACCACCAAAACATTACATCTATTTTCCTGATTTCCGAATATTGTGTGGGTGGATGATCAAAGAGTTCTAGCTGATTGGAGCGTGAATACGTGAAGAAAGGCGTTAACAGGTGGGGTTACTTCCGCGCTGAGATGTGCCTCTGAGGTGAACAGGGGTTTGCGGAAAGGATACACCACAGAAAAAAAACTAAAGTATCAAAAAATAGAATTTCCATAACTAAAAAGCTAGCTTGCGACGTGTTAAAGGGTATATGTCAAGATGAACGATAGCTGGTACCAGTGGCGCGCGGGGTCATGAACTGGCAATAACGTGTTCGCTCGAAGCTCCGCCCTACTGCGGCGGACGAGTTTCTCGGACGACACCGTCAAGTAAAAATAACTTTTGATAGTGAGATATAAGCTTGCTGCAAGCTGAGGTAAATCTTAACTATTTACAGAATCTTGTTTTGATTTTTTGTTTCTTTTTTTGGCAATCAATGAACAGCTGATGTGTTAGTCTTGAAATTCGAGAGATTTGCTGATTTACCTATGATTGACCGAGTGACTCCTGAATATCCAACTTTGAAGTGTAAAATCAATCTAGAACACCTCAGGCAGCATGACTGTCTGAGTGACCTCACATCTTAGACTAGTTCACACGTAATTTCGATTGAGTTACAGATCGATTTGTATTGAGGATAGCAGTTTTCGAAGCAAAATAAAAGAATTTGGTTATTCAAAGCAGATTCGAAAATATGTAAGTGCAGTATGATTTTCCTAAAATCTGAGAAAATTTATGTGATATCACCGCATATTTGCAAAACAAGTTAGTTTGCTTGAAACAAAATTCGCCTATAAGTATTGCTCGATAAGCTGACTTCTTTTTGAACTAAACTTGAGAGTGCACAAGCATATCCAATAGGGTAACAGATGTGAATAAAGAAAAACACTTTTCTAAGCATTTCCAAAACATCCTCATACCTGCAATGAAAAATCATTTAGGATAAGTCTACTAGGAACAAATGATTGAAATACATCAGAAAGAGCTTGCGAACTAATTTTATAATGAAAAATGATCTGAAGACTGATTTTCAGTTTTAACTGAAATTTTGAAATCTACTGTTATCCAAATTGCGACCAACTGAAGAAGCATGAACGAAGTATTAGAGAGTTTTTCAATATCTGCAACGCATTCCTAGGCTAATCAACAAGGGGGCGGAGCGATCAGCGCACCTTGTACAATACCCAGCTGGCGGCTGGCACATGCTATCGTTCATCTTGACCGCCACCCCGTGTTAAACTGTGCAAATTTCTAAGAGTATAAGCGAAAGCATAAGATCTTCCAACTAAGCTAGAAAAACAGCAAGTGAATAGCGATCACTCACGCCACCATGTCGTTCTCAGGGATTCGCGCCGTGCGGGCGGTCCTCATTAGAGCCCCTCCGCCTGAGCGCACTGCATAGTTTTTGATGTACCGTGCGTGCGGTCAACAATAAAAATGCCGTGCAAGCGGAAGAAAGTCTTCCCGTTCGATCGGCACGCAATAAAATCGACCGTGCAAGCGGCAGGCAATGCGTCCGCACGATCGGCCAGCAATCACTTGATCGTACAAGCGGCAGGCAATCTCGCCGCGCAATCGGTACGCAATAAAATCGACCGTGCAAGCGGCAGGCAATGTGTCCGTCCGATCGGGCGGCAAACATTTGCCCGTGTAAGCGGCCAACACTGACCTCTACCTTCGGCTCATTGTTTTGACACACTGTGAGCGTAAGCGGCACCTGCGTGAGATACGACGCAGCGTTTAGGCTGGCTAAGCGTCGACATATCTTGTTATCAACATTTCCTCACCGCAAAGCTGGAATGAACCTGTGTAATGCTACAGTTATCAAGAGTGATGGTGTGGGCTTCTCCATGAAAAGTTTGGGTAGTGCTGCAGGCATCCATACATGTTCATACTATAGAATGTGAATGATTAACCCATGAAAAATGTGCAAAATACCCCATATAAACCTACTCCAGCAGCAAGCGAGCGGCCGACCTTCCCCGCGCAAGCGGCGAGCATTAGAAACCGTGCGGGCGCCCCACGTCAACCGTGCTAACGGCCTTTGACGACCGTACAATCGCACACACCAACGAGCGATTGTAAGTTCGTCGCTGGCCGCCCGCACGGTGCGAGTCCCTGAGTTAGCCTTGCTTGTGAGTGACATGGCCTATTTTTTTACACCACGAGACATGCGTACAGAGCGCAAATCTCGTAAATTCACTCAAACTAGTAAGTGCACTCTTACTGCAATTTTTCTGGGTTGATGCCCTTACTATTAGAAAAGCTCTGAATATCAAAACGACTTCTAACTCCTTATTCACAGATTGTCAGTTCTTTTCTTTCAAATCTTCTAAATTGCTTGATTTGTTACGAAATGACAAGAATGCATTTTTGTGAAAAATAGCGTGAGTTCTTGGACGAAATTAGTGCGAAATTCAAACGGAAAAATATGACATTAGTGCGGTGAAAAGCTGTGGCATTCGGAAACTGATAAAATTGAGGCGCTAAGCAAATGATAAGCCAGATCTTCACGGATTAGTGCTGTAAAAAATTAATAACCAATTTGGAAAGCGAAAGGTGCTAATTTTTGTTTGCCTTTTTGAATGCAAATTGTTGTCTGGGCGCAATATTTCCACCGTTGAATGTCTAAAAAACGTTGTTCATTTGCAAACCTAGCGGGAAACTGAAGACCAATATTCCTACTTCTGTCAGCCTAACCCATTAACGCGCCTCTCGTTGAAGGTTCTACCGAGGAGCAGTCGGCATCTTCTCGGGTCTCCTGAAGCTCTATAATCCATGAAATGATGATATAACTAACAAGCTACTTGACCGTTCGTTTGTTATGACGGCGGTGCCGAAAACGTGAAGTGGATTATCCAAGACACATTCGCTGCATCCCGCTGTGGGGATGAAGGAAAAGCAAAGGATGCTACCGTAATACGCGGGATACGACTAGACTTAGAATGGCTACACAACAGCTCAGTTTCGCTGATGGTAGTATGACTCTAGAGCAGCAACAAACGATGTGGGATAATAGGTGCACAGACAAGCAGAGAGGGCAACTTTATGTGAAAAATTAGCAGGAAAGTTTGCACTAAATAATGAGCTGGCTATAGCAAAGTTTCTTTTCATATATGAGCTGACATCAAGTTGACCGTTTGTTCAATTTATTTACATCATATTATTAACGAATTACTTGACATACGCACAATAAAATATCACAGAAATACCCGAAATCGACGACATCACAGAATAACCAAACATCGACAAATTAATCATGGCTCTCTATGCGATTTGAAGATGTCAAAACCTCAGAGTACCACGAAGAACACGTTTTACAGTAACGAGCAATAGAGATTTCTTTCTGAATTGAGCAAACTTGGATACCCGTGAAGCTTTTGTGAAGGCAACTCAAAATTGACTAGAATCATTCACCGCGAAAAAAGCTATGGTAGTTGTTGGATAGTCAATGGTGCTACCATGCAAACGATCGATTGATCTGTCGGAAGAATTTTTTATTCTCACTTTCGTAAAATCGCTTCAGCCTCCGGAGGACTTCAGATTGAATAGCTGGATGTTTCCTGCCTTTCGTTTTGCCCAAGCAGTGCAGACTGCCATCGGATCGGCGAACGCACGGAAATTTCTTGATTGGGTCAACTCCGAAATATTCTGGTTTTGCGACTAAAAAGCAAGCTTTTTGTAGTTATGCCCTCGTCGATTAAGTCTGAAATCCTTACCTGGCTCAAGTCCAAGAAACCGTTCGGTTTGGCTGACCTCTAGAGCAGGTTGTGCGACTAGTCGCTCTCCATCGACGATATGGATTTGGTCCATAGGAAAGTTATCTAACCATCTTTTCATGTGTTTGTGATAGAGTCCTATCCGTATTGCACCCCATCCAACGTTGACGCCACCAACTTTCATGGAGCAATTTGTTATTAGCCATGGTGCACAATCGCCAATGGCCATCTCCTCAAAAGATGGCATCATTGCTGGCGCTCTTCGCTTCGATGAAGCTTGCGTATAATCTGAAAAAAGCTCTTACTCAAAAGCGATGATGTTTGAGACGTGATCATACCTGATATTGCCCTCATAACGGGATCTCGGACTACTATGATAATTTTCATTGCAGGGTTGAGGGCACGTATTCGTACAGCAGCTGTCCTGCTATGGAAGTAAGCTGGGCTTTTTTCGATTGTCATTTGGTCGCGAGATGTTAAAGGCATTCTTTCTCTGGAACGAACATTTATCGGCGACCTCCAAGTCAGCTTATTTGTTTTAGGAAAAAATGCCAGAAGGATGGAACGGAGATTGCTGTCGCGCAAGATTAGTAGAAAAATGATTGACTATAGGATACGATTTTGAGTTGCCACCCGTTTTTCTCGGAACAGCTACTTCACTTTTTCATTTCCTTGGTCTTTGCCATATTTTTGAGTGCAATAAAGCCCTAATACTCAAAAATGAGCTCTCTTCTCCGTTTGTTCCCTTTACCCCAAAGAAGAAGCATGGCTATACATGGTGACCGACCACATGTTCTTACATATGCAGTAAAACCTAAGAAGAAAGACTTCAACACACATGGCCGGCCATCTGTGCATTGCTTGATACCAGCGCCATTCACACCAAACCGCGTCCTTTTACCCGTCGTGCCGATGCCGCTATCTCCTGACCAGTGACGTAAGTTTGTCATGAGGTCGCGACAGAGCAGACATCATCGCACTGCTGCAGTTTTTCTATACCGGCATTAGTTTGGCGTTGGTTACCGTATCAATGCTACCTATACCAGTCTAAAGAAGTGAGTTCCCATCAAGGTGGCCGCCCATTTACCCTATTTCGGAAGCACGATACTTTGACAGTCACATACAATTTCCTCTAAACAAGGCAAATAACCCATTTCTCAAATTTGCTCCCCGTCACTTATTTTCCTATAAAGCTAGATCAAAGGAGGCGATATATGAGCTTCTGCTGTGATTAACGCCTTGGCGCGTCATAAAAAAGTAGATGTAAGGAGAAGCCGACAGAACTGCTGCCAGTGGTTGTTGTGCCTTGTGCGCAGGTGGTGCACGAAACAATTTGTCGGCTATTCGACAACTGCTACGAACTATGACATGAGTGTTCGCGGAAAGGGAGAACTGGGAAGGGGTGCTATGGAGTTGGTAATGATATGGTTGATGGCAGTGATGGTGTGGATAGTATGAATGGTGTGAATGGTGTAGATGGTGTAGATGGTGTAGATGGTATAGATGGTGTGGATGGTGTGGATGGTGTGGACGGTGTGGGTGGTATGGATGGTAGAGTTGATGTGAATGGTGTTGATGGTGGTGTCATGGTTTCAGTGTGTGGTCGAGTCAATGGAAAGTAGTTCTTCAACTAAGAACTTGTAAGGCCAACTTGTTTCCTTTCCCGCTTTGGTCCCACGTTCTTCCACTTCCCCTAGCGCAACTTTGATGAATCCATTCCGACGCAGTAAGCACAACGGACATTACACGCCTTCTAGCTGACACAGGTCACGAAGCAACAGATCTAGGAATGGAAGCGTGCTTAGAACTCAATCCTACTAGCAAAGAACTGCATCGGGCAAATTGGGCGAGCCCAATCTGCATCGCGCCGCTGTTCCCCCAGAGCGTGCACAGGCGAACATCCAAAGATGGTTCATCCCCGACATCAAGCAATTGAAAACAATTAACAAGAAAATTGACGCAAATACTGTGATGAAAATCGCGGCATAAACAATTGTTGTAATAGAGAAGGAAGCGAAAAGCGAACAACGATTTTCTCGGCTCAGACTGGTCATTTTTAGTGTTACACAGTTTGGTGAATCTTCTGCGAAGTGAACTCAGCCGTTCTTCTCCTGGTATTTAGATGGAAACAGGGGTCGGACATGTTGTACGAGGCATAAAAACAGTCTGCCATTTATCTAGAGAATCACCATGAAGACTTTGAAGGTGTAGGACCTGTACTACTTTGTTCGCAATTTCCAAGTTAATGTTACTAAGGAGGTAAGTGATTGAAAAAATTACCGGTCATCTTTTCGTCTGAAAATAGGACCTCGAAAAATTATAAGAAAGCCCAAAAGTCGAAATTCAACCCCATCTATCCTTTATCACATTCTGAAGATATCTTCATAACCCAAAGAGGCCTGACCTCTAGCGTGTTTACCGAGAAGCGCAGAAGTTATGCATGAATGTTTACCAACTACTGGTATTCCACTCCCCTGCTGATATATTTTCCTTTCAATCAAAGCCTCAAGCCGCCTTGACTAATAATCTTTTGAGTAAACATATTGTAATACTACTAGAACAAAACATAGGTGCCACGTCTGCGACTAAACCGTATGAAGAATACAAAGAGAACAGGAAATAAGACTTCCATATGTATAGAAAAAACTATCTACTTTCAAACTTTAACTCAGATCTAGATCTGATGTTTAGCAAAGAAAAGAGTTCCAGAAGAAGTCGTTTCGGTGCAGGAGTAATAAATATCAATGCTGAGATTCATGTTCCGTAGCTCCAAATTCATTTGCACACAAGGTCAAAGCCACAAATCCTCCGAGACCTTAATGAGCAGCGATTAGGATCTTCATCATCATAACCCGCCGTACCCGCATCACGAGTCCTCACACTCAACTACCCTCCCTCTTCGCCCTAAGTGTCCGTTTGAGAGACGATCTACTAGGGTTGAGGACATCACAGTGCGCGAGCATACAGTGAGTACGCTGTCATAAAACCATAACTAATTCATCTCAGATCGAGCACCGTATAAGACAAAAGGTAAGGATCCTCCTCGTACTGGTGGCAAAATCTGGGTCGCGACTGAATATCAATTAGGCGCACTGTAGTTTACTCCTAATTCATTGAGCAACGAATATTTAATGGTGACCTTTTCACACAATGTTAATTTCCACTACATACATTGCATTAAAATGGCTATTAGCGCTACGCCCAACTCATTCGTCAGAACCAATTATCCTATCGTTGTGCACGAGCTTTTCAAAGATTGACGGACTTTGCAATCTCTGAGCCAAATGTGCTGACAAATTGCTCTACACACTCACATCAGACAGACACATATGATGGAGAGAAGAAGCAAAGGTCAACGTCGATGAGACTGGGTGTGAAGTGCTATCTCAGCTGTTCAGAAGTCATCCAATCTCAAAAAAAATTTGGCCTTATGCCAGATTGTTTTTGGGAACTCATGACCTTGATGTTTTGATGCTTGCTTGTACCTATGTTTGAGCAGAGGCATCACCTGCTCCCAGATACGGAACTGCTGAGCTGCACCGCACCTGCGGCCCTCACACTTCATTGCCGGCAGGAAACACGATCCCGGGATGTTACGAGAACTGTTTAGGTTAGGAGTAAACAGTACGGTTATTCATGGTTCGTCCCATGTATGTTCACAGAATTACTCGAAGATAACCTTCCCTCTCTTCTTTCCCCTCCTTCTGTTCTCCTACAGCCTTGGCGTCACTGCGTCTACCTCGCCAGAATCTCATGCGCACCAAACCTATCAGTTTACAGAAGTCAATAAATCGCCAAGAATTCTCATGGCGTACGTACAATCCGAGCATATAAAAACTAGGAAATTGCTGCATAATCTGTGACGCATGGTGACATATGAGATAGAAGTCCTTGAGAGTTGATGCCGGATTAATCTGCACAATGAAGGACTGAGCATGGGTGATACACTGGATTCATTCTTAAGCTTTCTGACAACTTGTTGATTTCAACAAGCAGTAAATGCCTTGCTTAATTATTAATTGCTTTCTCTTGCCGAGCAACTACTCTTGACCTTAAGCTATTTGGGTCTGACAAATCTCGAAGACATTCTTCCGAGTTTGCTGAAACTCATCAAGATCCCCAAATACATGGGTTAGTAAACGGATGAATAAGTAAATAAATAATCAAATAAATATCAAGATTAGCTTAAAAGTCAGTAAAATGAGGGAGACCAATAAACCAAAGCAAAAGAAGTTCACGCACAACGATAGAATAAGACTACTCAAAAAGATGGATTTACAGTAATCGTCAGAAAACAGCCCATCTTGATTGATACCACGGCTATCTACTCACTAATGCTATCAATTTGATAAGGATCTTGTAACCAGCAGACAAATATGGTGGCTAAGAGTCCTCATGACAGGTTGTCAAATATTGTATGTCACTTACGGCTATTCTATTCAATAGATAATGACGGTGAGAAAAATTAAATGCAGCCAGTGCAACGAATGAAAATCAGCTCTTACCTGTACCAGTCCAATCCCTTATGGTAATTCTTGTCGAAAAAGTGTACTTCTGGACCAGGGGCTTGAATATGAGGGTTTAGTCGTAAGAATTCGAGCAGAGCCCTAGTGCCAGCCTTTTTGACTCCGACTATTATAGCTGTCGGAAATTTCTTCTGTGGCAAATCGACGGGAGCACTACGGCATAATGTCAATGGAAGTAATTGCAGCAATAATCGCGGCAACATATCACAGAATATTCTGCAAAACTTGGAATTAGTATTGGATAAGGTTTGTGGGATGAAATGACAAAAAATTGAAAGCGAAGGAAAAGTTGGCGGGGCCTGTTAATGAGACCTGCTACATTAGTACTCAAAATGGTTTTCAAAGCATAAAGATAACAAATAAAGAATAGTTGCAATTTCGCTAGATAATAGTCGAGGGAGGAGCAAAATGTTTGCTTTTGTAAAAAAACAGCATTATCACAATGGGAAAAATGAAATGAAAAAATGAATGATTTCGGGAAACCAAAAAAAAAATGAAGATACCCAACAGCTACAACGGTACGAAACAAAGTGAGGATGATGATGATAACCGATAATTATATAGGAAGCCACAAAAAAGGATACTGTGCACATCTCAACGACATCGATTGAATATTGTTATTTCTGTATGATGCATCTAAAGACAACAATATAACAATCAAACATTACGAGAAGAATGCAGCTCTTCTAACAAAAATTTGGGATTGGGACATCTCCACATACTAATTGGAGTGCTGTTAGGTCTACAGTATTTCAATTAGGTGCAAGTGCGGCCTCCAGAGGGAACGAGAGTCTGCAAGTGTGGGCGTGGCGACTGTCCAAAGTGGGCGGTCCCGCTCAACCTCTCCCATTCGTCTCATCTCTTCCAGCACTCAATTAAGGCTATCCAATACACTTCACCATAGGGAATTTTTAGCGATCACGTAGAAAAAACTGCTCTACGAAGAATCTAGCAAGGCCT